TTTCGTGTCTCGATGGCTCCCTAACTTGTTCCAGGTTCTGAATGAACGATGCGCTTGTAAATTGAATTACGAGCGAAAAAAAGCGGAAAATCGGTGCGAATACATCGAGCGTTCCTTCTATCGGGAAAGTCACGACACGGAACGTCAGTTTTGTTCTTCCTCGTCGAGGTACTTTGACGTATCCTCGGAGATCCTCGGAGAACGCGGAAATCTAAAACTGAAATCACGGATATACAAGATGTCGGTGCAGAAACGTCGGACTTTTTCGTTACTTTTGGTTAAAAAAAAAAAAGCGATCGCCTCGGGCTTCGTTCTCCGCAAAGACGATGGTCAGCGTGTTCCTGACAGGCGAAAGCACAACAGAGTTATCGGGGTTCCTTGTGCGTCGAGAAAACGGGGACACTTGGACGAGCGTTCAATTTCTCCGACCTGACCCGATAGCACGGTACATGTTAACGCGCTTTGCTTCTTTTCTGCGCTGGCTGCAGACGTCGTCATGCCGTGACACCGATGAGAGCTTCCGGTCGACTGGGAATCGAGTATAATCCTGATAAGCTTCTTTCACCGACGACTAACCGTCCGGGGCACCTTGCGTGCCTTTGGCTTAAAAACAAACGGCGATTTCATCAGTTTCGATGTTATCGAACGCGTACAGGATCGCGCGTCGTTTCGAGGAACATCCGTTCATCGCGGTTCGTCGAGCCAAAGATCGTACGTCCACACGAAAACGTTCCAAGGTTTCGTGGATGCAGTTGAAACCCTCGTCGTTAGAAGCTGGATGCGTAGGTGGCAGGTCGTGTACACGCAGACAGGGAGCGTTCTCTGCGGGATGAAATCAATAATACACCAACATTCGAAGCGTGTCGCGACTGACCTTACGGCGTTCTGCAACGGTGCGAACACGGCGTGACGGACATCGGTGTTCGTTACCGGTCCCTTTCCCCTTCGGGTTGGGAAAATCTTTCCGTGGTCGCGCATAAAATTCGTATCTCCACCGAGACTTTCTTTCCAACGCTGTATTTTCCGCATTTTACGGGTCTAGCGAGCATTTGACACGTAACGATTTACCTCGGAGCGCAAGCTTCGCGATAACAAAGTGGAAAAATATTTAACGATCGGAGCGGAACGCTGACAGAAAGAAAGAGTGGTTTAACGAGCGGGATCGCTGTCAGTCAACCAGGCGCAAAATATTCCTTTAAACTGCATTAATTTGACGAACGCCAGGCGCGATGATCCGCGGTCGGCCGACATTTACAGGCTGGATCATTTAAACTTTTCCGTATAATAGTTTCGGAACGAGCTGTCGCGCATACTTGACGCTTTCTCTTCGTCCGATCCAACGATGGATTTTCGAGCAAAGTACACGGTACACCCGCGCTGTCGTTCGTTTTCCGTTAATCGCGTACATTGTAGTAGTATGTACAAATTAAGATTAGGAGAATTTTTCTCGGTGATTTGTGTGCCAAAGGAAACACTTTGCAGAAATTTCTCGCGAATGTATTGGATTGTAAGCGGTATTTAATCTTGCCGTCGCGTCGGATAGAAACGGGTACGAAATAGAAAATGGAGAACGACGAGTAGGCTCCGCGATATTTTCCATTTTCCTCGAGCGTGAATGCGGACCGAAGGTAATCGCTGGAGAAAAATCGACTTTGAGGCGGCGTCCGTAAGATCGAAGACGAATTCCCTTTATACCGGGATTCGTGGTAATGCCGTTCTTACTACCGTGGAAAACTCCTCGCGATACAATGAGGAAAATTTCAACCGGAACGACACTACCCGTCGCGTCCCGGGCTGTAAATTCAAAGAGAATTCGATTTAGTGCCGCTCTCAATATGCGGATAATACCCGTGCAATAATGTCGATAAAGAAACGACGCGGAATGGAAAGAACTATCGATAAATTTTCAGGCCGCGTACCGTTGGCGTTCAGATTCCGAGGCTGTTGACGAATTCTTCGGGATCTTACGTGTAAATAGTGCTAATTTAACAAAGTCGATTAGACTGACGAAAACTGTACGAAAAACGGAATCGAGTCTGTGATACATAGAAAGAACGTCAAGGTAGTCGACGACTCCCGAGATTCAGCATTCGAACGCGGGAAACCGAAGGAGCTAGAATCGAATTCGAAAGCGGATTTCAATTTCTCGTAGATATCGCAATAACGAGAATCGTTTACGTACAAACTGCTGCTATTGAAGTTGATATCGACGTCGATCGGCAATAATTATCGGCGAACGTACGGAGGGCTCCGAGGACCCTTTAAGCCTCGGGGGAAAAAGGACGCTCGTTAAGCCAGGAATTCAATCCGAACTCGGCAAGAAATTGAAATCGAGACGCCTTTATTTCTGGCTTTAGGACAGCGGGGTTGGGAGGGGAATCTCGAAGACAAAAACAAGAGGGTTACCACGGGAGTAAACTTTAGAGGCACGTGCTGATATTGCACGTTTCGCATCCTGGCTTCGATCCCGTGAACGTTCGATTTTCTCGAAGCTTTATCGATAAATCGATAAGCGGGTCGCTGGATGTACCGGTCGGTATTTTCAAAAGATCAGCGGCATTTACCGATCGAAAGACGTCGGAATAATTTTGTCTCTCTCTGGAAAATTGACTCATGTAACAGTTTTCATTTCTGGTTGAATAATATTTGTCGACTCGGAAGTTCCGCGAAACGGTCGGATAGCACTCAACCTATAACGCAGAAGCGGAGCGTTCGATTTCGAAGCGATCGAGTCTCGATAATCTATGGTAGAGACGGCACAGGAAGAAAAATATTATTAAATCATCTCGAGAAAATTGCAAATTTTAGGTATAACGTGGAAATAAAATAGGGTATTCACCGTGTACGATGTATTTCCGTTCGACCTAACGAGCGGAAAATAAAATCTGTCAAACGAACGCAAAACGAAACGAAACGACTCGCGACAAGGGCGTGGAATAAACGTCGAATAAAATTGCGAAATAAAAAACAGGGGGATAGGAAACTTCGCATTTCACATTCCAGCCGCCTCTCCCAATTTCCTTCCTGCAGCAACACGTTCGTCGCGAGCGTCAATTTACAAAACAACCCCGTCGACCGAGGCATCCTTTGCGAACTGTACCGTCATAAAAAAGCAAAAACACAAGTAGATCGAAGCGGCTCCGAGTACGTGCTGTTCGCGCGGTCCAACTTCCTGTCGGACACTTCGATCCACCCGCGCCCCTTCCTTCGAAGATCAGACGGGAACGGAAGATAACAACGATGCGCTTTGTTCGGTCCTCGAAGTCCCTGCACGCTTCTCCGGAATGTTTTCATACGGAATTTCAGACGCTGGTCGCCTCGGATAGATCGAACAGCCACGGTTACACCTCGGATAGACGCAGGGTTGCTTCTATACTCGGGGATACTGGATTCAATCTAGAGGGATTATCCAGCCTCACCCCAGGGTTGGTCATCGCGCTTCTATCCAGCCACGATCGGAACTTCGTAGCCTCTGTCAACTCGCATCTTTTGCCGCGTCGCGCCAGGCTACTCTAATACTCCACTCCCGGGCAAATGAACCCCAAGACCGACATACAGGGTGTTGAGGTAGCGCGCAGGCTTACGAGATCGTACACGCGAAGCTACGATGCAGAGGGATGTATCGCAACTTGATTCTTCGCTGTTGTATGTCGAGTAGAACTCGGTGTTGTAACTTTTCCGAACACTGTGTACCTCGCACAGCTTCCACTGAAGCCACGCTTTCGTGAGAGATCGACAGACCCTGCAGCAGATCTCGGGGTTGCTTTGACCCCAGACCCTAAGAAAACGAGGATCTTGGGGAGTGTGTTGAGTAGCTTCCTTTTTTTTCTCGCTTCGTGGAAAGGGAGAGACGGCCTTTGAAGGGCGACGTAGATGACGATCGACGTCTAAGAAAGTTGTTACGTCGCGGCACGGTTGGTTTTGAAAGAAAAAGTGCTTCACCCGTGATCGGCCGAGCGTTGAAGAGGTGTCATGGTGTTCTGATGTAAGAATTACCACCGAAATATTAATTTGAAAACAAGTATTTCGCTGGAATATTTAAAAAGCTTGCCAGGGGAGTTTATAGAAGTTTTAATGACTTCTATAGAAGCAGACTTCCGGTGCGGGATACGGATAGGTTGCCGGCGTTTTCTTCGGCCAAGTGTTTCGATTAAATAGTGTTTTAGAAAAGGATTTACGGTCTGGTTGTTTTTGCAGCCGTTGCCGAGATTCCGCTTTCTCGCGACAACGGTAAAGTTGAAATGTACGTTGAACTCGGACGGCGAATACAAATCCGCCATTTGTTTCCGGTCTTCTCGTTCGTATCGCGGAACTTGGCGATCGTGGGTTAGCGGTATCGAGTTTGCAAAAAGACTGGCCATCGGATCGACCACGGAAACTATAAATTCTTCGAAATAGAGGTTATTTGACTGAGAAGTCGTACGCGATGTTTCGTCGTTACGAATTTCTGCGTTCCCATTTTTCTCGGTATTTCGACGGTCGAAATCCCAGCCAGCGTTTTCCACGCGCGGCAGATATGGTGGCGCGACGGAACTGCTTTCAGATGTCCATTACTATTTAATATCTCGTAACGCGCGTCTTCGTCAAGGCACGTAGTCCTGCAATTAACACCGTCGCCCCGTCACACGGTGGGCACGCTGTGCATGCTCGGCATTATCGAGGATATTTCGAAACCAGCCGCGGCAGGGCTGCGTGTTTCCCGTTGCATACCAATGCAGCCAGTGCAGCCGCAAGACGTACGATACCCGCGAAAACTTGACACGATTACGACGAAGTCGTGCTCTGTTTTTCGCGAGCATAGATTTTCCTTGGGATCGAATTACGCGTGTCTAACCTCGTGCTCTTTTTCTCTTTCCAGGTGTCCTCGAAAAAAAGGAGACGATGACTCTGGCCGAGTACGATGAAACCGTCGTCCGCGACACGAGGTCGCCGTGGCAAACGCGATTAAGTAAAAACCTTTGAACGACGGACCGCCCTCTCTGTAATTAGCGCAAGGAGGATCAGTGAAATGCACGGTCTGCCGTGAAAATGCTGGTCGACGACTGCGGCAGCGGGATGGGGTGGACATCGGCCAGCGTCCGCGGGGGTTGGTCCACCCCAGGCGGTTGCAGAAATTCCTCGATGAGCTTCGGGGGTAGCGTGCCCTCGCTGCACGCTGCCGGTTCGATAAGATCCCTGCGATCCCAGCACTCTATGCAGGTAACAAAAACCATTGGCTTCTAGCCGTTTTCGCTCGCAGCCAGGACCATTCTTCTGGTGAATGCGCCGGGGCTATTAGCGCGCCATGGAAATACTCTCCTTTTTAGTTTCCGCAGTTTCCTTGGTCATTTTTTTTTTTTTTTCTGTGAACGAGCATCGATCAGACAGGACTATTGTTGTACGTCGAGGCTTCTAATGATTTTGGGAAGCGATTGGGGTACACGATCGAGCACTTTTCGAAACCGTGCTTCGACGAACTCTCGATGCGCGAGGGGTAAAACAGTCGTAAATTCTATTAAACTAGAATCGTAGGAGATACGAATGATATATTTGCAGAGAAAATTCGCGATTAAACCAGGTCCGTGTTAACGAGGGCGGAAACCGTTGGTTCCGTGCGATGTTGCACAATGCCCAATGGAGACGCTAATTTTCGAGTAAGGTTGATTACGAGCCCATAGAATAAGCACTTATTGAACGCAGCCTACGGCAATTACCTCGTTGAGGGCTTAACCGCCATTGTGCGTGTACCGCGTTTCCGAAGAGTATCCCTATTCCACTGCAATTCCTATACGAAAGCATCGAGAGGAATCTGCGAGAGAACAGCAAATGTGAAATGAGACAACCTGTATACGAATATCGAGAATAGTATGCTTTTCCAAATGTTCCGTAAGCAGAACGTTGTGGCATACAATGGATTATCGTGTCGCGCTTCTCCTTACGCGCGTTGAAATAGCAAGAAATCAATGCACGGTAGCCAGGATTCAATTATGGAGCTCGAAATCGATGATCGCTCAAGGTTACTATTCACCTCAGGGGCGAATCGTTAATCAGGACCGCGAGAATTACTCGCGGCATTCATCCTTTAATCGGTATTCCATTTGCGACACTTTCTCCTATCGATAAATCCGACGGCGTTTAATTTCCAGAGGACGTCGGCGCAGATTCAACGCGAATACGCCGGTTACATTCACCGATGCATTGCAGGACTTTCTTTTTCTCAGGCCGTGCCGGAGACACCGCGGAGATGCATGCACTGCCACCCGGTACACGTGCCGAGCACCCCGAACAATTACATGCACCATCCCCCGATGCAGTATTACACGCCGAACCACTGCCCCGAGCCCAGGACCGGCGTCTATACTCCTCATCGAGGAAGTTCTTATCACGGCGGTGAGTTACGACCATTTTTTAATTAGTATAAATCAGTCCTCGTGCCCGGAAAATCGGGGCTTCGGTAATGTCCGGAAAGGAGAAATCAGCTCTCCGGCAGGGGCTGTCGTTTCGAGGGTTCGTTTAATCTCGCGGCAAACTCTGTCGAAGGAATTGCTTTTGGAACGGATAATGGGTCCTAATTCTCCGTGAGATGCTGGAAAAGAATTCCGTTGAAAAACGTAATGTGTCCTCTATCTCGAGTAGACCGTCAACCTTTTGTCTCGCGATTCTGTCCTCTTTATCGTCGTCCCGTGTCTCGACTAGCTCCCAGGAGTCTCGAGTAATCGCCATCGGGTCGAAGCTACCCAGGAATCGACCATTCGTTCTCGCGTCGATGATCGTCGTTGAATTCTATTCGCTGTCGCGAGGCGAGAAAACGACGAAGATTCTCTCGCGAAAAATCGTAGTCGAGCGGAACGATTTCCGAGATTTTTTCGATCGGTATCCCTTAAGAGAGGCGCTGTTTTATTGGGATGATCCGACGGTATGTTTTGCATTTCATTTGATCTGCCGGATGCATCGTTCAGCAAGATTGCGCAACTTTCCTCGTAAAGCCGCGACAACAATAACCGTGCCCTTTCAGTCTCCACAACTTCTCCATAATCTTGGATACCTCTGTTTTCGTTCTCGCGGCGTTGCTCGCTAAGGGGCTCGCCTAATCCGGTTCCACCAAGTTTCGCGACTTTGTTCGGTATTCAACGGCGAACTGGCTGGAGGAACAACAGAATAGCGAAATATGTCAAATTAATGGTGCAGAGACATTACGTTGCAAACATAGCGATAGAAACATGCCTAACGAGGGAAGCTTTCGCATCTGGAAGTTGCACCTTTAATATACCCAAGGCTTTTCAATTGTTTGTTACAACATCGCAATAAATTAGTTGTTCGACTTCCTGCGAAGCGCAGGATATACTGTATCGGTCAGGGAGATCTCTGCGACAGACAATGCGCTCGTTCGAGTAGAATTGATTTTTATTCCTCTGGGTTCTCGAGTCCTTTCATCGCAGCCCAATTTATTAAGTTCGTTCTTTGTGGATGCGAAAGAAAGGAAACAGGTTCGAACAGCACACCGCGCTGAAAGGAAAGCAGCTCCGCCTTTGTATCGTTTAAAGGATTACCTTTCTGACCGATGGCTGTACAAACGAAAACACAAAAAAGTTTGATTCGGTGCGGATTCGCGAAGAGAAAGGAAGACAGAGGTATCGCGAACTCGCGCCGCTGGAGTCGCGATAAAAATGCATCCGGTAGCAAACGAACGAGCAAGAAAATGATAAACGGTGACTACATCGTTACTGTTTAAGAAGGGAAGTCTATTTGCATTTCGTCTAGAGATTACACGAAAATGCTCGGAGTAGCAATCGCATTCCGAGACGCGGCGAGAGGTTGTTATCCGACAGGAAACTTTCACGGTTCGACCGAAAGCAAACTCGGATAAATCGGATACAACTAGAGATGCATTACCCGGCAGATTGCCCTGGATTATATGTTGTCCTAGAAAACAACTCTCTAGGAGGACGACATTTGTTCTACAGCGTCGCGTAAGCATTATGTAATCTTCTCCGAGTCAGCGGAAAGCTGCCGATGACATCTGACACTGACTTTTCCTGCAGCCAGGCACACGCTCCGTGAATCATCCTGTTCGTTCCTCGGTTGTCAATTCACCTACCAAAGTACTTCAATTTCTCCACGTGTCGTTGGAATTCCTTCCGTCATTTTTCACTTGTCACTTTTCAATGAAATGGGCTCAGCATTCGGGACATTATTCTTTCGCGATCCATCTTATTATAGCGTCAGCGATGAAGTTATTGTATGGATGAACGATCACGGAAGCGAGGAGATCATTCTTTCGCGAATATTTTATTCTATGGAGAATACTCGGTGTGCTGTTCCTTGCTTCTAAAGAGATTCCAGCCACTCGACAGGGAAAACAATAAAAAAAAAAAGCAATAAGTCAAAAGTAAATGGATCGAGGACGTGTCGCAGCTAGCGCTCGGATCGCGCGTGTTTCTCGATGGGGAAAAAATCGAGTTCCGCGGCTCGATTGTCACGACAAACGACAAAATCTCACGCGTCCCGCTGAAAAATAAACAATGTATCGCAAGTCGCTAAACCAGGACGGCTGACAGGCTCGTGTACCCTTTCGTCGACCGATGAACAAGAATACCAGCAAATTCAACAAGTTGGTCAATCGAAAAAAAATATAAATAACGCGAGAAGCGTATCTGTCGTGGAATAAAATGTGAAACTCTCGATGCGCGAGTTTGTACAGTGGAATCCATTGAGCGACAGGACGTTGATCCGCGTTAATTTAGCGTGTAATTTACAAGGCACAAACGCGCCACGTCGCACTAACGAACGGTAGTTTTCGAAATAGCCGCGAATAGACTCGGTTTGCGGATAGGATAAAATTTGCTTTGTTCGAGCCACGTCGATAAATACAAATATCGGCGAATTAACACGGTAAATCGCGGCATATTCGACAATGGGTACGTTTTAATTTTCTGTTTCGATTGGGAGAGTTCTTTTGATGGATCGCATTCGCGAGGTCGTCGTCACCAACGGGAATCGATTTCGAATTCGTTCGCGGCATTACTCTGCTCGTTCGCATTATGTAGATGACCGCGTGCACGCAATTCCCAGCGAAATATCCGGCTCGATGGGAAAGTTTTGTATTTTTCGCTCGATTTACCGCCTCCGAATTCTCCAGGCCAGCAAAATTTGTTTCGACAAATTGGTCAGGCTGTTTGTTCGTCCGGTCATCGATGTTTGTTTTTCGTCTCTCGTTCGCGTTTGCCTATAGAAACCGATTCGCATATATCACGATCGTTTAAAATATAATCTTAAAATATTATTTCGAGGCAAAGTTTGACGCATCGATATTTATTTAACAGTTGCAATGCTCGAATGCAAAACGCATAGTAATAATAATGTAAATGCGAGGACGTTCGAGAAACCGCGTCCAACTTGAACAGAACGTCTCAACGGATCGAAGAAAACAATTTTCTCGCTAACTGACACGATTCGCGTAGATATCGTTTCGAGAATCCGGCGAAGTACTGCGATTTGCGTCACCGCGGACGACTCGTTTGAGAGCTAAATCACCTTCAGAATTCCTCGACGTTGCAGGTTCTTTCACGCTATCGCGTTTCCACGACACCGTCGAGAGACGCGTGTTTGTCTCGTACCCCTTTTGCCGTTCAATTTTTAACGGATCTCCGGTCGTGCTCGCGCATATTTCAGCTTGAAGTTTCAATCGGAGAGCATCATCCTCCTCGCTCGAGTTCGAGGCAGGATTCGAGAATCGAAACAGGTCTTAGCGTTTCTCCACTCGACGATGCGGAACGGTTTATGAATTTTACGAGGAATCAATCCGTTCGAGCGTTGCATTATTACGGTGATAAAGTATCCAACGATCGAGTAAATTTTGCTTACAAAAAGGAATGGACGATAGGAATCCTCTCGCTTTCATTTTCAGAAGAAAGTCATGACACAGTCCGCGTCGATTTTGCATCAGCGGGGAAATTTATGGTGGTTTCGGTGTTTTACCACAGCCGAAAAAGCCTCATAATTCCTTTCGCGGCAATTTCACCGGTCACGAAGGTTCGCAATTTATCCAGCGACCCCTTCTGATGCAGGATCTCCGTCTTCCCGATTCATTTTTCACCCCGCAGCCCATTTTTTGGCCGACTAATACGCTTATCTCCTTCACGCTGGCGCAGGGTAATTAAGAATATTTCGTCTCTTTTGCTAACTCGCTTTCGCAGCCCGACTTCCGGCATTATGTTATCAGTTACTCCAGACAAAAAAATTCTCTCTCTTCCATTCTCTCCTCGGCGCATAGTGCATTAATCAGTTCTTTTGTACGCCAAGTTACAGGAAATCTAATTCAGAAGTATCGAGCGTGCAAAGTTTACGAAAAAATAGTGAAATTCGTTCGTTCGATTCGTCGCCTTCATTTTTTTCCTCGATACTCTTTCAAGGTTTCACGTCTCTCTTACTCCGGACGAGATTCGAAAACCGACGGCAAGTATTTCCTGAATTTTACGAAAATTCTCCAGCTCTTCTGGTTGAATGTCATCGACCCGATTTCTCGAACCCTCGACCAACGGTCTGGCACACCACGCCTCCTTCAGCGGCGACCAGCATCACCTTTTCACGAGCACTTTTATCTAGCCCTCTGGACTCTTCTTTTTCCTCTTCATTTCTTTCAACTCGTTTCATCCCCTGCCTGTAGCATGCAGATGCGGCGTTGCCAGCTGCCGCGAGCCAGAGAATACGTCGAGAAAATATCTTGTCTCTCGTTGTCGAGGGAAAATCGTCTTCGCGTCGTTAACGATCATTTTCAGATGTTCGGTGAAAAATATACCCGTCACCGGCCGAAATACGTCCTGTCAACGGCCGGAACGAGCAGAATCTAGAGACCGCGCGTGGCGAGATAAGCGATAGATTCGCTAATGGAATAAGGCACGTCACGGGAGAGACGAGTAGAGTGGATCGAAAATACTCGACAATCCTTCGTTATAATCTCGAATTTATAGGCGAATAGTAGAAGAGCGAACACGTTTTTCACGGAAATTACCAGTGTCTTGAATGCACCAACAAGATCTTGCTTTAATAATGTCCATTTCAGAGTAAACAGTATTTATCTTTATCGCCGGGCTTAATCCGCGCGCAAAACAAGCCGCGACGTAAATTCATTGGTCCCGTCCGTTAGCGTGTTCTCGGTGTAATTAAGTTCTGCAAATATATCGTTGAATTACGCAAAAACAGGCGAACGTAATCCTGGAGTCTGGTTTAATCCGCGCGACGGTCTCGATTTGCATCGCAACGGCACTCGAAAAAGATCGGTCGCGTTGTCGTGCTTTGCTTTCCCGCGTTCGAATTCTCCCCCATCCTTTTTTATTCCATTTGAAATTCTTTCCGCAGACACTCGGATGCGTTACATGGATCCCGAGGGCAGCATAATTGGTAACAACAATTGGGTGCTCGGAGACTTAAGGAGCCTTCATCGCTGCGTGCCAGCCACCATTCGTCGGCCAGGTAATGAAAATTACTCGAAAGTACGTAAACTATGTCACTTTCGCATCGTAGAAACTCGTATCCCGTTCGACTAGACTGCCTTTCCTCCGTCGCCGTCGTTAGGAATTTTCGTAACAATTTATAGAGGCATAAATATCGAAACGGAAGACGGAACAAGAGAGCTGTTTGCACGGGCGCGATTGTTCGGGTTCGCGAGCACACGACGACGCGATTTAACGACGAATCGTAAAGAGCGTAATCTTTCCCTTCAGGCATAGACGTCGCCGGCATGCGGACGCATTTCTATCCAGAGGGAGGCTGGGGTTGGCTGGTCTGCGCAGCCGGCTTCCTCGCCCTGTTGCTCACTACTGGAATGCAGCTCGCTTTCGGGCTTCTTCACGTTCATGCCGCTCGACACTTCGGCGAGGAACACCATATGGATTTGGGTAAGTCTCCTTTCTTATGCTTTTGCCCTCTCCTTTGTCCGGAGTCTTTCGCGCAAGAACAAGACTCTCGGTACTCCTCGTTGAACAATGTTTTATCGCCTGGCGGTTTCAGGAGAGATTAGGGAATTCGCTGGTTCAGAACCCAGCCAAGTGAATTCACATTTAACGATTTTCTTGTTCGTAATCTTAGGTATATACTCGTTTCGTGTCAGACTATGATCAACGAGTGAGAAGAGAAAAATAAACGACGTAATCTTAGATAACTTTAAATTTTTCGAGGCAGCAAGGAGGAGGGATCGTTTCGTTACAGAATAGTTTAAATGTACGAGCCATCGCGTGAAAGCGTGACGAGAGATTTATTCGGACGGAATCACGACGTGCATTTTTCCCGCGACCGTTATTTAATAATAGGGCCGAGGCAGAATTTAAAGTAAACTGTTTTTTTTTTTTTTTTAACGGGATCGAGGAAGCAATCAAGCAAGCGAACGTGATGTGAATTTCATCCCTCGTTACAAGGGCAGAGGCACGTAAGGAACCCTTGTACCACGGTGATCGAGCAATTTTTTCGAAAAGCATGAAAGCGACAAGTTTTGGAAGTGTTCGCATTTTATGCGATGTGGAAAGATGTCAGAGATTCGAGGGTCGGTCTCGATAAAATTGAATCGACAGATGTCAGGCTTGGGTTACAGTTAAGAGGACTGTCGTCATCTCGTGAACTATACGACGTGTGTCAATAATAATAGTGTAGTGTCCGCGCCTCCCATACCCAACAATAAGGAGTCAAATAAGAACACGAAACGTAGGGTACGGGATTGGTCGCGTAGGTAAAGCGGTCGACTGTGGATCCGAGGATCGTGGCTTCGAATTCCCGTGCCTTATTTTTCGTTAGACTCCTACAATAGTCGCTTCGTAATTTTTAGATAAACACAATTAAGGTGCTATTTTATTTTATAATAAGCATAAATTGGTTTTAGTCGACCGTTCGTTGATTTTGTTTTGTTATTATCGCGTATGCCGTACTTTTTCTCGATAGCTTTCTATCTCCATTTTGGTGTTATCGGAAGTTTTGGATGTCAGGATGCATAGGTTGAATTTAACGGGTCCATTAAGGTGGTCTGCGATCGAAACATCAGGGGAACGGGGGTATTAAGGTCAGACGATGAGAGTGGCTCGAAAAAGGCGGACTGCGAGGCCTACGGGGGCGGCTTTTTCTCGATAATGCATGAAATACGGAAGTCCTCGATAAGTCGAGGTTTATTTAAAGGCGAGGGAAAAATAATGGCCGCCCAGAGACCCGCGAACAGTTTGATAGGACTTCCACGGCTGACAGCTGATAGATACTGGGAGGCGAAGAGCTTATCGTTGACCTACTCTACTTAGTTATCTGGTATACATCATACGGCTGCGAGTTGTAAAGTCCGATCGATCGGTATATTTACGTGGTTTCCGCGTCGGTGGACGACCTCGTAATTTATGGGGGAGGGGGACCAAGTTACGTAAAAATTACGATACATTCAATATTGGGCCGACCCTGAGGCAATATATCGCACTTCGAGCGCGTCCGAACCATCGATCTTCCCGTGCGACGCGACGAAGTCGTATTTTAAATATTTCAGAGGAATCTCGGGGACCCGTTGAAGTCAATAATTTATGGAGTTTCGTTCGTTTAATTTATAAGCACGCGTTCGCAGTCTGACGCAAATAAATCTTAAAGCGATCTTTTCTGAGCCCATCGAGCATTTTAAATTATGCCGAATCAACGGCGAATTTTCTTGAAAATTTCCGTGTACGTTTAATTTCATTTCGATTCATAATTGAATTAGCCATTTCCACGGGGCCATTCGTAGCGTCTCTATTGATCGTAAAATATAGAAATTCCCATACCGAAACCAAACGTTTTCGTATTCCGTTAAGTCTCGTAGTCACTCGAATACCGTTCGGAAGCGATCCCAAGAGGACATTAAGCGCGTTCTTGTCGGTCATTTTCCTAACCAGCGGACTGTTAAAAGTCGCTTAACAGGTTGCGAGATTAGAGGTCAAAAGGCGGAAACTTAGTCGCTACGAAGCTCACGCGATAGAAAAGCGAAAGGCGTTTCCTCTCGACGTGACATTTTTGTCTACTCTCGAAAACGAACAGATTAATGTCTTCTCGCGTATGCCAGCTTTTACATTCTAGATACTACATTTTAGTTGCACCCCAATTACAAAGTTTCTCGCGCATACGACCTCGACACCACCGCAAGCGCTCATTCCATTGAACTGTGTACACGTTGTTTTTCATTAAACATGTATTACGAGCGAACCCTCGGGTTATTCAAACTGTCGATATTTACCAAAGTTTGATCGAAAATTTTGAAGCACCAGAGAACGGATTGGCATCGCATCGATGTTTTCAGCAGACTTCAGAGGTACGTTTATGGAATTTCGATGGAGAGTTTCATCGGGTTAATTGGCGCAATTAATTACCTTTAATGAGTAATTACTGTATATCGATATCGCGTTCCGTTTCTCTCGGTTGGTCGCGTTATTACTCAAAAATACATTGTAACGAACGCGATCGCAAACGTTATCGTGGTAGTTGCTCGTCGTAAGACAAACGCGATTATGTCTTTTTTACAGATTATTATTTCTCCGTACACTTCGCGAAACAATTGACGTTCTCGCACGCGATCTCTGTAACTTTGAATCGTCCAAGTGAAATCTTCTAGGTTATTCCAACAATATCGCACGTACAGCTCGCGAAAATCCTCGAGACACTCGAAACGGTCTACGGCGAATTCGAGGATCGGTATCTCCTTGGGCCACCGTGCTCGTTGGATCCCTCGCTCGAGTGTTCACTCGCGACACGGCTACTTGGTTAGATCTAAATACCGATTATTCTTTCAAAGAGCACAAGACGAATTTCTCGGATGTTTCGTATATACGTCTGAAAGTCCGATTCTGAAAGCGAGCTACGATACCAGGCTGATACCGACGAGCCAGCAACTGGTTGACGGCTTTTATTTTTAGTACGTATGCTAAAGGTCACCAACCCGTTGTTAAGTAAATAAATATCACGGCCAATTACATCCTTAACGTTCGAACGACCAACGATCAACTTTATTGCGATGGAAATTGCGTCCTTTCGTGGGGGACAAACTCCGAAGAAACGGGCAAGCCGCGGGCTGAACCTTTGCGTCGGGACAAAGGTCGTCGCTTAAAATACTAGAGTGCCGGTACATCGTTGAAAAATGTCACCGCGTTAATTTTCTCGCACGTTGCAAAAGTGCACTTCTGCGTCCTCTTGAAATCACTCGATTGTTTCACACTCGCCAGGACTTTACCGAAACTTTTCCCCAAAGAGTATCGAACTGTCTATAGGTCGAGGGATATGCATCGACGCGAATCGAACTTTGCACTCAATCTTCGCGAACTGAAACATCGCGGGACTCGCGAGTTTCCCGTCTCGAGTTGCGGGAGACCTGTCGCGAGATACTAGCGCCGGCATTTCTTACTTTTAAAGAGAGCAAAACACCGCTGTTCGCTGGGAGTGGATTCAAAGACGGCTCGCCTCGGAAAACGTGGTAGCAGCGGCCAATGGCGATACCGCGGGAAAAACGAGGAAAACGAGTAAAGTTTCAGCGGTTTTGCGACACGCGGAAGATTTTAAATATTTGGAAACACGAGTCGCGCGAGACGGAAACCCAAAGAATATTCCGTTTTCGCGAAAGTTATCGTCATCCTCTGCCGCGCTCTCGGTAATCCTCTTTCGGATTCAACAATTTTTCATTTCTTTCCGCGGATTTTACGAAATAGGTCGTGTAAACCATTCCTTCAAAGCGTGGAGACACTCTTGTGTAATTCGTACAGTGTTCTGAAAGTTGTGGCTGCGGCCCGCGATCCGGTAGTTTTCATTAAAATATCACGAACGCGACCCGATGCCCGCTTTTAAATATCACACGGCGATTGTTCGCGCCGGAATACGTTTTTGCGATATTAATGGCGTTCCCCGGATTCCCGATGCTCCTCTTCTTTTTCACCGATTACGGAAAATGGCGTGGCGAGAACGTTGTGCTCGCGGAACCGTGCGAGCACCGACGCTTGAGTGCAAGGGAATACGGTATTATCTATGAAATGTATTCGCGGAAAGTAAAGCTCTCGAATGAAAAAAGGAAATGCAAATATATTCTCACGGATGATAAAATATTTGTTCGGCGAATAGTCATTACGAGGGAGTTCGCGATACGTGCGACCTTTAAGAGGAATTCTCCAGAAAAATTCTCCGTCCTCTCGCTGATTACTTCTAGGTACAAAGTTCGTCGCGAATCCACGTTTCTCCTGCGTGATTTGAAAAATTCAACCACTTAAAAGAGTGGCTCGTTGGATGGACGATTCAATGCTCGCTCTCCTAACGAGCATTTATTATTCAGGATCAGCTAGCTGTTCGCTTTCTGTCCGTCACGAAGGATTCCCCGCGACCCATGACATTCAATTTCCACCTCGTCTGGTGGAATGGGATTTCCACGGATCCTCTAGACTAGCAGCGCTTGGTAAACTACGTCGCTGTTCCCGTGTCATGTCCATGCGTCGGACGACGCGTGCATTCGACGCAATTCCAACGAAATTTACCGAAACGAAACGAAACGTCGAACGTCGCACGTCGGACATTTTCGGTTTCCCGCGATTCGATTCGACCGATCGACCCCGCCGAGTCGTGCCGCGAAACGTGGCCGCGATTCGGCGTTTTTAATTTACAACGCGAAGAGCCGTCAGTGTCCGGGGAGATTTTCAACCGGCCCCGATTAACGGTCGACGAAACGAGCTTCCTGGGATTTTTCGACTATCCAGCGTTTTCGTTTTGTTTCCAATTTCAACGAAGCACAAATTGTTACCGAATGCATTGTCGCGTTAAATTGTCGTTTGCTGGGCGAAGGAAAAGAAAGATCTGTCGCTGGTTAAATAGATTAAAGAGACTCTGGTCGATAGCGGATCGAGCAAACAACTTCCGCGAGTTCGCGAGC